AACATATTGAAGGAGAAGACAGTGGGGCTTATGGAAGCGCTCGCGAAGATGTACGAGCAACCATCGGCAGCAAACAAAGTGCATATCGTCAAGACTCTTTTCAACCTCAAGATGACAGAATGATGGTCCTTCACGATGCACCTCAACAAGTTCAACACGATTGTTGATCAACTTATCTCCGTAGACATCACGTTTAATAACGAAGTGCAGGCCCTATTCTTACTATCGCAGTTGTCGGATAGTTGGGTAGGTTGTGTGACGTCAATCAACAATTCGGCGGGGAAAGAGAAGTTGAAGCTGAGTTAGGTTGTTAGCATGATTCTATCCGAGGAGGTTAGAAGAAAATCGTCCGAATCAGAAGGTTCAGGTTCAGCTTTCGAGCAGAGAGGCAGAAGCCAGAAGAAAGGAAATCAGAATAAGAATCGGTCGAAATCAATGAAGAAGAGGTTGAACTCGAAGGTTAGGCCTATTAAAGGGAAGTGTTGGAACTGCGGTCAGGAGGGCCATATGTTTTCAATCTGCAAGAGTCCAAAAAAGGATACGGGTGAGCAAGAGGCTTATATCGTGCAGGATACATTGATCCTTGCTATGGATAGCGACTCAGATTCTTGGGTTATCGACTCAGGAGCCTCTTTCCACGCCACTGCTAACAGGAAACTTCTCCAGAATTATGTAACAGGGGACTTTGAAAAAGTTTATTTGGGGAATAACGAGTCTTGTAATATTGTTGGAAAGGGTGAAGTGCAGATTCAGATGAAGGGCTCTAAGTGGACCTTGAAGAACATGAGACATGTGCCGAAGCTGAAGAGAAATCTTGTTTCAGTGGGACAGCTTGGAGCAGAAGGCTATGTTTCAACATTCACAGGGGATTCGTGGAGAATCTCCAATGGTACGATGATTGTTGCTCGAGGCAATAGACTAGGAACTCTCTACCTCATCTTATATGCGAGTGACACCCTTGTAATTATAGCTGGCAAAGAGAGTACAGATCTGTGGCACAACAGGCTAGGACACATGAGCAAAAAGGGGATGAAGATCTTACATTCACAGGGAAAGCTAACCGGGATCGACTCCGTGAAAGTCGGGGTTTGTGAAGATTGCATCTTATAGAAGCAAAAGAGAGTTAGTTTCCAGAAGGGTGGAAGGCCACCTAAGGCTCAGAAGCTATAGTTAATTCATGCAGATGTATGGGGTCCAGCCAGTGTGTCTTCTTTTGACGGTTCGAGATATTATGTCACTTTCATCGACGATCACTCGAGGAAGGTGTGAGTCTACTTTATGAAGCATAAGTCAGAGGTGTTCGGAGTCTTCAAGAAGTAGAAGGCCATGGTGGAGAACGAGACAGATCTGAAAATGAAGTGTCTGAGACTAGACAATGATGAAAAATACGAGCTGGAGGAGTTCAAGAGGTTCTATGCTACAAATGGTATTCGTTTAGAGAGGACTACTCCAGGGATGCCGCAGCAGAACAGCATTGTAGAGAGGAACATAATCTTGACGGAGCGTGCCAGGAACATGCGATTACATGCAGGTCTGCCTAAGATATTTTGGACGGATGCGGTGCATACGACAGCTTACCTTATTAATCACGAGCCATCAGTTCTATTGGATTTTGGGATTTCAGAGGAGGTTTGGAGTGGAAAGAAGATAAATCTCTCACACTTGCGGGTATTTGGTTATGTGGCTTATGTTCATATCAGTGACCATGTCAGGGAGAAGCTAGAAGTTAAGTCACAGAAGTGCACATTCATTGGATACGGTATTATTGAGTTTGGGTATCATCTTTGGGATGAGAAGAACATGAAGATCATCAGAAGCAGGGACGTGATATTCAAGGAGGATGTGATGTACAAGAATAGGAAAAATGCCAATGATAGCCAAAGCAGTGGGAGCATCACTTCAGATGCAGATGGATCTGAGTACATGGATTTAGAGGATCTTCCAGATAGGGGTGATGATGTTTGTACTAACCAAAGAATGGTGGAGGCTCCAGGTACAGAATAAACTACCCAGGACGTGGAGCTTAGGAGGTCATCCAGGGTACCCAAACCAAATCCCATATATTTTTTATCTCTTGATTACTTATTGTTGAAAGATAACGGTAAACCGGAGTGTTATAAAGAGAAAATACAAGCGAGTAAATCTCAGCAGTGAGAGCAAACGATGCAGGAGGAGATGGATTTTCTACTCACTAATGAGACATGCGAGTTAGCTCAGCTACCTGCACAGAAGAAGACTTTACATAACAAATGAGTCTATCGGGTCAAGCAGGAGAGAGATGGAAGCAAGAGATTCAATGCCAGATTAGTAGTGAAGAGGTTTCAACAGCGGGAAGGAGTGGACTACACGGAGATATTTTCCCCTGTTGTGAAGCTCACAACCATCAGAATGGTATTGAGTTTGGTAGCTGTAGAAGACTTCTTTCTTGAGCAGTTAGATGTGAAGACTGACTTTCTTCATGGTGACTTGGATGAAGAAATCTACATGAAGCAGCTTGTTAGCTTCATTGAAGAAGGAAAGGAAGAGATGATGTGCAAGCTCAAGAAGAACTTATATGGTTTGAAACAGGCTCCGAGACAGTGGTACAAGAAGTTTGATAACTTTATGCAAAACAATAGCTACAGAAGATGCAAATCGGATCATTGTTGTTATTTTAAAAGGTTCGAGTCCAGCTTAATTATCTTGTTATTATATGTTGATGACATGTTGGTAGCAGAACCGTGTTTAGAAGATATAAACAGTTTGAAGAAGCAGCTAGCAAAGAAGTTTGCAATGAAGGATCTAGGTGCAGCAAAACAAATTCTAGGGATGCGAATCAGTAGGGATGAAGCTGAAGGGACGTTGAGATTGAGCCAAGCTGAATACATTGAGAATGTACTTCAAAGGTTCAACATGCAGAATGCTAAAGTTGTTAGCACGCCCATTAGAAGCCAGTTCAAGCTATCTGATGATCAATCACCTAAGACAGATGCAGATAGAGAGCATATGAGCAGGGTGTCATATTCTTCGGCCATTAGGAGTCTCATGTACGCGATGATTTGCACAAGACCGGACATCACCCATGCAATGGGAGTTATGAGCAGGTTTGCTAGCAATCCAGAGAAACAATATTAGGAGGCCGCGAAGTGGATATTACGGTACTTGAGGGGAACAACGAACAAACCACTATATTTCAGGAGGAAGGAGTTGGTGTTGCAGGGATACATGGATGCGAACTTTGTCGGTGATCATGATATGAGGCGAAGCACCACGGGGTATGTTTATACCTTAACGTCGACAATAGTGAGCTGGGTCTCACGTCTGCAGAAGATTGTGACTTTATCTACAACCGAGGCTGAGTATGCCGCAGTGACCAAAGCAAGCAAGGAAATGATCTGGTTGAACGGTTGCTTGGAAGAGTTGGATCTGAAGCAAGGGAGAGGAGTTCTTTATTGTGATAGTAAGAGCGCTATACATCTTGTCAAGAATCCAGTATATCATGCCAGAACGAAGCACATCGACGTTAAATATCATTTTATACGCTCGCTAGTTGAAGACGGAAAGTTTCACTTAATAAAGATTTTGGGGAGTCAAAATCCGACGGACATGTTGACGAAAGCAGTCACCATTGAGAAATTAGAGTTGTGCATAACTTCAGCTGGCTTTTACGAGTAGAAGACGAAGGCGGAGCCACACTACAAGGATCGGTGAGATCGCCGGGATATTATTGATTAAAGAAAGGATTTTTTCCGGGGAGGAGAAGATACATGCGAAGAATGGGAGAGTTTGGGTGAACTCGCTGATGGCACTTTGGTCTCCAAATGGGAGATTATTAGTCTAAAGTGTAGACCCAAAGTTGAAGCCGAAGCTGGAATCAAAACGAGGGAGAAAATCAAGAAAAAACAGGAGGAGGCCTGCATGGTCGACCGTGACGATCGACCGCGAACGTGCACAGAAGCTGACAAGAGGCTGGAGCTGAAGGCGGTCGACCGCGGTGGTCAACCGCACCAACCCTGTAGGGATTTTTGGTCTCGGGAATCAGTTCGGTCGACCGCGCTAACACTGTAATGTTTTCTGCTCTCTGGAAAGTGGTTCAGTCGACCGCCGCGGTCGACCGCGATACTTGCGCGGTCGACCGCCACGGTCAACCGCGACACAGTCAAACAGTTTCCTAAACTGTTTTAGATTCTGTTTCTTTCAGGACCCTATATATACCTAAACGTTTTTAGGGCTTGTATGTACACGAAAAAAGAGAGTTTTTGACAGCAAAAAAAGAGAGAATCTCAGAGAGATATAACCCTAGTTTGAGAGCTTGTATTTCTTTTTTAATTAATCAAAAGAATTGTGTGGTGTGGCTCCCGAGGACGTAGGCACGTTGCTGAACCTCATTAAATCTGTGTGTTCGTCTCCTTTATTATTTCTGCAAGTTTTTTATCTTTATTTGAGGTGAATTTTCCTATTTTCCTACTTTCAACACAAGGTCCGGAAGGACAATGGTTCGATTTGATTGTTTCGAATCCCCAACAATAAGATCCTACATACATATGTTGAGCGGCCATGTCTCTTGTCCATGATTACTGGTTGAAACAAAGTCAGTGCAAGGCTCATGATTCCGAGGGATGACTAAACTAT